TTTAAATGGAATTACTGAAATAAATCTACTTTTTCATGATATTCTAATTTTATGACCAGCACCTGTATATATATATTTCTAATTTGGAACTCAGAAACCCCAACTTCTGATGACAATTGGAACGCACCATCAGTTCTGGTCGTTACAAAGCCCAACATTTCAGAAATAATCAATTTTAATTTTGTCAGCTATAAATCCTTATTCTTATTATTAATATTTTGCTTAATTTTAAGTATAAGTGAAAAGTAAAGGATTTTCTATGCCCCRTGTGGCTTTACAGTGTAGTTGCTATGTTTCCGAGGGTTCATGAATGCATCTGAGGTCTATTGGTCAGAAACTAACAAGCGTGTGAACGCTTTGTAGTGGAATTYAGGAGACATATGCATCTGATTTAAGACGTTTGAGGTAAAAATGTCTCCATAATAAAAGTAAATGTCACATTTATTTTAAAGTTAGTGCTTGTTTGCTTTGTTCCCTGCACTGTTAGAAAGTTGAGGCTGCATTCTGCAGATGCGTGTCCCTGTGTGACTCCAGCCCGAGTGGAACACCGTGTGCTCCTCCTGCTCCACGGCGGCTCTCCTCCTCCAGGTCTGGGCGGCTGAACACATCAAATAGTGTGAGGCGGGAGGTGACGCTGCAGCCTGCAGGTCAGGATGTGATCAGATGAGCTCCTGCCTGCATCAGCAGCTCATTACAACAGTCTCATCATGAGSTGTTCAGATGTGGCTGCAGGTGATGCGGTGTGCGTTTAATTGTTGGATTCAATTCATTTATATAAGACCTACTTTAAAAAAGTCATCTCAACACACTGTACAAAACAATCATGCATTATAAAATGCCAATTAGTAAAACAGAAATCTAAGGAAGCCAGCAGATTGAGTTGAATCTGTCTCCCATTCTGAACGGCATGGTGACAGTGGAAARAAACAACTGCTTTTTAACCAAAACTGAAAGCTCTGCCTCCCATTCTACTTTTAGAAACTCCAGGAACCACAAGTAAACCTGCAGTCTGAGAGCGAAGTGCTCTGTTAGGAAAGTATGGAACAATAAGATCTTTAATATATGATGGAGCTTGGTTGTTAAGAGCTTTATATGTTAGTGTTGTGGAATACTGATTATGTATCACCTTGACAC